ATTAATCTAGCTCGTCAAAGTAACGTTATTTTATTGTGTCTTCCACTGCATTGTAGCCATAGACTTCAGTCTATGGTTACAAAAGTTGAAACCTTTAGACGTAGCTTTTATGAAGCTTTTAATGAACTATTATACACAAGAGGTTGAAAATTAGTTGAAAAATCATCCTGGACGAGTTGTAACACTTTATCAAATAGCCGAACTGTTTAAAAATAGCTAATTTGCACAAGATTAGTTCGAGAGTTGACACTTTAATTTAGGCACATAGTACATTCTGCATCAGTTGTGTTTACTCAGAGTGTCAAATTTTAATGTGAACAATGAACAGAAGATTATGTACCGTAAGAATGGGTGGCGTTGGCTCATTTTGCATCTTAATGTCTATTGCATGAAAGCCACAAAAGTTATTTCCTCAAATACTAAGTACTTTTAGAAGCGCATAGAAAGGACAGAACTATCTGTCTTCTATTTGAAAATTATTTACCTGAAGTATCTTTTGGGTGGTTTAAATGGTGGGCCAAAGTCACCCTATGTGTTAGGGTAACTTTGGCCCAACCCTGTAAAAAGGAATTAAAGGAAGCAAAACAACAATATTTAGGCAAAGAAAATAAATTTACAAAATATAGTGACAAAAAAAGATTTAGTAACAAAGTTCTTGTATACAGTAAAAAAAATATAGGTTTAAACTAAACAAGTATAGGTACCAAGTAAACAAAACAGTTTAGGTATAAAGTAAACAGAAATGTCAAAAATAATGTTTTAAAAAATTTAGTGAAAAAGTTCTGGAACTGAATAAATTCCTCTTTTCGAAATTTTCTTTAGTTCTTCAATAAAATCGACTATTTCAGACTGGGGAAAAAAAAGTTGCTCTGTTGGTAGTGACCATTTCCAGTTAAGTCCATTCATAATAGTAATTTCTGCTCCATTTTTTCCCAATTTTTCTAACCGCAGAAAGAAAAAATTCAAAAGTTTTTTTTTAATTTTTCAGCAGTTTCATTAAATAATATTAGTTATTAAATTAATTAGTTATAAAGTTTACTAATTGATTAGCTAAATATAAATTAACTCAAAATAAATAAATCTGTCCAGGATTTAACTCTCCAATGCATTTAACAATTACATAACAATTCTCTACAAGATTTAATAATTTCTCCTTTTTACAAACATTTTTTGTTTTATCAATATTTTGAAAGTTCTTTTTGCCACATGCGGTAGTGGTGTAGTGGTAGAGCGCTCGCTTCATAAACGAGTGGTTCCGAGTTCGATCCCCACCACGTCCCTGGTAGTACCGCGCTCAACTCGTTTCTCTGCGCAGCAGCCTTGTTCGTCAAGGTTTGTGTTTCGGAGTTATAGAGTTGAGAGAGGGTTATAGCCACAAAATAAGTAGCCTCCTCGTCTGTAGTGGCCTTCTCGGCCTTGAGGAGGTGAAGTAAAATAAAAAAAAATAAAAAAAAATGCTGAATGATCTAAAGATTCTGTATGACTTTCTGCAACTAAACTGCAAACATCGGCAAAAGTTAGATTAGAAGCCTCAGCAGTTCCAGTATTTGTACTTGGGCCAGCAGTCAATGTCAATGTTGTTGGTCTCAATTGTATTTATAATACTGATAGGTGTATCTACATTATTTGAATTTAATCTACTATTTTTATTTATAACACAAGATGATATATCTGTTGAACATAGGCTTTTACCTGGGACAACACATACTTTACGTCGCTTTGGTTTTTTAGAACCATCTGAGGGATCATCCAGTGACTTACATAAATGATCTAAAAATAATTGGCTTACTAAATCAGTAGATAAGTCTAAACCTACATTACAACATGGTAGTCGTGAAAGCACTTGAGACTTGTCTAATGGAAAAATTCCAGTTTTGCGAAAACCAGCTCTAAGGTTCTTATTCCCATGTTCACTTAATTTGGTAATTAAACGGTCTAAAAGTCTAGGAAATTCATCTTTAGGAAAAGAAGCAACTCTTCTTCCTTTTCCTTTTTCCTTCCATTCACATAATATTTTGCGCCAGTTATATGTTGCCTACTTTAGTCATAGGTCTAAAGTAGGCAACATCTAATGGCTGCGTGAGATGTGTTGAGTTTGCTGGTAATGCCACAAATCCTATGTTATTGCTTTGACATGCATCCAGTACTGCAATGCTCAAATGTGAGCATACGTTATCACCCATAATGGCACTTCTTCCTTGAGCCTTCTTAAGTCTTGGAAGAAGTAAAAAGAAAAACCAGCCCTCAAAACATGTTGAGTCAAACCAACCACTTTTTGATCTGTTATAATTTTGGCGGCCCATGTTCCATCCATGTATTCCATAACGACTCAGCTTTGTAAACAACATAAGGTGGTAGCAATTCATCATTAGCATTGCCACAAAACATTACAGAGAATGAGGTCTTTGTAGAATTAATGATGCGTTTTAATTGGCGATTAGATTTTGCGATTGGATTGGCAATTAATTGGCGATTTGATTCGATCTTTTTAAAAAAAATCGAATCCTATCGCCACCTGGAAAATTATTTTTGAACTGAGGTATAATGACGCCTTCTTCTCTAAATACCCTTTTACTATGCATCTTAAATCATATTTATCAACAGGAAAACCAAACTCAGATGATTTTATTGCATATGTCTTAAACATGTCTTCTTCTTTTGATGTAAATATTTGCTGACCACCATACTTTTTAGAATATGTCTGTTTATGTTACTTTTAATGTTGATCTTGGTATATCGTATTTCAAAGCTGCTTGTTTTTGAGTAATTAAACCATTCTTTAAATCTTTTAATGCATTGTCTAACTGTTCTAAAGTATAAGTAAAATATTTTCTTCTTCCATAATTTGGCTTGTAATTTTGCGGCATATTTAAAATAAGAACTAAACAAATTTCACTATAATCTTATACTGATTTACTAATACAAACTGTTATACTGATTTTCTATTGCATTACTACTACAAGATTTTTTATTCCAACATAGTAACTACTATAATATCTATAAATGGTCACTTAAAAAAGTTTACTCTAATACATGGGGTGACTTTAGCCCGGGCCAATGTCACCCTATGTAATGTGCCAAAGACAACCTATTTTTTTTTAACCTCAATTACAAAAAAGTAATAAACTGTTAAGCTTTCAAAACAAGATAGAATCAAACATTAATGGTTTAAAATTAATTCAGTGTATATTCCAACAAAAAACCTTCTACAGGTACTGCTATCGATGTAAAAGTTTACACACTTAAAAAAATTCGGATTTTAGGTGCTTCTTCTAAAGTGCAATTTACAATAATATCACAAAGACTCGAGTTAAGTAAACTAAGTTAAACTAAATAAATAATAAATTTCTCACAATTTGCTACTAAACATCAACCGGCATACCTTGAGGTATCAATTTTAAACCATTTTTAAACAAAAATTTGTTGGGCTAAAGTCATCCTGTAGGGCCAAAGCCACCCAATCTTACGGTACCATCAATAAATTAGTTTCAGTCAATTTTTGTTTAATAATCAGGTTTTATTCAGAAATCAAATAGGGCTCATTTTAGACTACCTCAGGGTGAAACAGGCCCCTAGCATTTCTCTGTTCAACGGTTATTTCTTAATGTAAGGCATAGCCACACCTTTACTTTTTTTATGTTAAATTGTAGAGCATAGATTGAATTTCCTGAAAAATACTTTGTTTGTAAATTTCGATGGTTTAGCTACATGATTCTATCATTTTTTTAAAAAGAGGCCCGTTTTAGACCACTTTCCCCTACTTAAATAACAATTCTACTATTACGTAAAGCAACTGCATATATATTTAAGAAATATTTTGTAACGTATTTTTAACGTTTGTAAATCGCTCGAATTGCAAGTAATAGTGGAAAATAGTATTTTTAAAATTTTATAATATCAATATATCTTTAAATTTATTAGTTTCTTTATACAATCAGAATTAAACTTAATGGCCAGAAATAAGTCTTTTAAAAAAAAAAAAAGCATCTAAAAAATTGATACCTAAAAACTTTGTTTTTTTTCTTAAACTTTTTATAATTGTATTCATCGTTAAGTAACCTATTTAAATCCAAATTTGTTTGTTTATATTACATGATGCGAATTTATTTTTTAAAATGATAAAGGCAAAGTGGCCAGAAATTGGTCAGTTTACCCTAACGCAATTTTATAATTAAAAGTTTTTTGCCCTTAAAAAAAATACCTCGGTTTCGGTTATTCATAATGGATGGCGTCCTTTGGGTGTAACATTTTTTAGAAATATTTTTTTCCGAAGTATTTATTTTTGTTACTTTAGTTAGAGTAGTAATAAATAAAAATGGAGGAAAAAATCGCATAAGTCATAAATTATTTAGCTCCAGTCACGTGACAAATTTAATAACTTTTTATTTTATTTTTTATTTCAAATTTTCCTTTTTGCAAAACTGAAAATTCATGCAGGCTATGAATCATTATGATAACATAAACATACTGACAAAGTATTATTCCTTCTTAAATGATAGTTTTGCGATAACTTAGGGCTTTCAAAACGTTCGCAATCCCCGTCTTCCCTAATTTTTAGCTAAAAAAGTACAAGTTATTTTGCATGGAATATTAGGTGTTACATTTTCATTATTAAACAATATTTTTAAAGTTATTTACCAAAATAAGGGCATTTTATCACATTAACGATGTGTAATACCTTGAAGAGTATATACATTGAAAATAACCCATCAGACTGTTCAACATTTTCATTTGTCATTAGTAAGAGTAAGATAAAGAAATTTGTTATTAGTAAGCGTAAGATAAAGAAAAAAAGCAAACAAAAAGATATATGTAATCTTGAAATTAAAAACCCATAGTTCGTGATTCCTGACCATAAACTAAATTTTCTTATAAAGTTTATATTAATTATATTATATTAAATTAGATTATAATTGGCGTTAATTGATAAGAAAAAAAAAGGAACAGATATCAGTTTGAATAAGAATTGAAAATTTTAAAACACGACAACACAAATTGTATTATAAGATTAACTAATATTGCGTAAAACCTGAATACAAAAGTTATTTATTTTTAACAAGTATACCCATAGCATCTCGTGATTCGATAATTACTTGATAATGATTTTGAATGTTAGAAAGAGCTGAGGCAACAACATCAAGTGAATCTTTCTAAAAAGAATATACAAATCAAAATTAGAAAATTTAGGCCATCTAATAAAATTATTTTTTTTTTAAATATATATATATATATATATATATATATATATATATATATATATATATATATATATATATATATATATATATATATATATATATATACATAATTTGGAAATATTTTTTAAAACGTGTTCTAAAAAATAAATTTTATTAACTTTAAAATTGAGTTTACATAAATAAAATTGAGAAAAGTAATATTTTAATGTATTTGAATATTTTACGTTTTGATATTACTTTATATCATTTTTATCTAATTTGTTACCCATAATAATTTATTTGTAAAAATATATTAATTTAGACTATATTTGTTTATATTAAGTAAAACTATTAATTGAAAAATACAAGTAAAAAGGAAAAAAAAAAACGTAAAAATAAGTTGTTTTTTTTTAAAAAAAAATCTGAAAGCATAACAACAAACTAAAAATTTAATTAGACAATGGGTTAAGAAAAAGTACAATATTATTACATAGTATATTATTATGTATATTAATCTAAACAATAATAACAACGTATATCATATTATATAATGTTATTTTTTCCTTAAGAGTCTTTCCTTATAGAAAGAGCCACTGTTACGCAACTTTTCTAGAGGGTCGTAATTTTTTTTAAACTACAAAATAAATAAGAAAACAAAAATTTTTAATGATACTTGTGTGGGTAGACATTTTTTGTGTGATTTAGATCAAAATTTTTGTTCCCAATATTAATTTGTTTTATCTTATTAAATCTATTATCCAACTAGCACACTTACGTTGGGCCAACGTATGTAAATACATCGCAAACGTCGGCTGTTTTCTCCGATGTAAATACAACGTTGATCCAATGTTATTTTTATTGTTTTTATATTAATTAAAAACTTCATAAAAACGTGATAAAAATAGTTAGTAAAGTTACATTGGTCCAACTTATTTAAAAACATCGTAAAATTTGGTTGTTTTTAAATACGTTTAAATAAGCCCAACATTGATCCAATGTATAGGGATCAACGTTGATCCGATGTATATGGATTAAGGTCGATCCAATGTTTATAACGCAACGTTAATCCAATGTGTATAGATTATCGTTAGATATACATTGGATCAACGTTGATCCACATACATTTGAACAACGTTGATCCACATACATTGGAACAACGTTGGATTTATACAGTGGATCAACGTTGTGTTCGCATCGAGAAAAGGCAGATATGCGAATATATATTTGTACAATTTAATATGGAAATTATGTTGACTATGGAAACATATTTTGTTAATATATTTTTCTTTTATTTATATAACGAAATATCAAACCACAAGCAAAACAAACATGAATAATACATGTTTAATCTAATGCATTACTACAAGCTAACTTTATACAAGCGTCGTCAGCAATGTTGATTTATCATAATGGTTGGAATGTGCATGTATATGTTACATGTATATATATGCGTTTATATATAATATTCATCTATATAGATATGCCAAAATATTAAACAAATAAATTTAATTCCGATAAAAATTAAATACATCGCTGTGCAAACAAAATATATCGTTGAGTCAACTTATAGTACAACGTTTCGCCAACGTAAAATACAACTTTGAATTAACGTAAAATATTACACAATGCGGAATTTTTTTGTTAGCAATGTCGCATTCGTATGTTGGCGGTCGATATTGGGCCAACGCGCAACATTGTTCTAACATTTTATCAACGTACGTGTGCTAGCTGGGGTAACGATCTTTTTTTAACAGTTTTATTTTTGATTTTTCTCCCCTATGATTACGATAATGATTATTAATTGTAAAAAGATACTTTACGTGTTTACTTTGAAAATAACTTGATAATAAAATAATATGAAAATAAAACTGAGCATGTTTATACACGCGGTGGCCTTGCTTCTCAAAGCTTACGTTTTAGAAGGGTTGAGAAAGTTAACTCCTCAAATCCAAAACAAGAACCTGGTTAAACAGAACCTATTTAATATATTTAATATATTAGGATTTATTTATTATAAATGTTCATTATAAATGCTATCAAAAGTTATTTGTGTGTAAATCTGTTATTTGCAAAAAATAAATAAACATATACTAAAATCGTAACAATTTTGCTTTCATCTGTTGTTTCTGCTTATAGTCTTTGCTTTTTGTCACATTTTTGTTAATTGTCTGTAATGAATTCGGAAAGCCATTAAATCTTTTTTTTTTTTGCTTTTTTTATTTTAAGTTCATATTTAATATTTGATATGGTATCCTTGACCTTTTAAACAATTAGCTAAATGGTTAGGAATAGTTTGATGTATAAGCTTTTTTAAATATTCTGGAAATTCAAGTTGAATCTATACTTGCCTAATTTTTTGTCAAAGATTATCAGAAATAAAAAAAGATTAATGTCAAAGATTAATAGAAAATAAAAGTCTCAGTTTCTAGACTTCAATTTGAAGACGATTACAGCAAAATTCAATGAGGTTGAACTTGTGTGAATTATCAGGCCAAAGGCCAGCCACCTCAATCCCATTTTATTTTTTTATAATCTTATCACAATATTGATAAGTTATATATTCTACAATAGTTTATTAGTATTTTTGAATACATGCTCTAAATAAAAAAAATAAATGACATATTAAAAATTGCTTTGTAATAAATTTCCTGAAATTTTTAAATAATAAAATAATATTAATAACTGTTATCAATACTTATTACAAGTTTGAATTACTTAATAATTGTATCAATAAAGTGAAACAGTTATTAGACACAATGTGCAAAAAATAAACTTACAAAATCACCACTTTCAAAGAACTTTAATTGAAACCATTCAATATTCTGTAAAACTGTTTGTAGATCATTCACTATACAAGCAACACGAGGAAAAAAGTCACATATATCACTAAAAAATAAAAACTTTTAACTTTAAATTATTTAAATACAAAAAGTATTAAAAATAAACTACTTAAAAAGTCATATAAAATATGTCATTTATTTACACAATCATTATTTTATATCAAAATATTTATTTGTATCAAGATATATTATATCAACAATGATGTGTCATTTATTTGTATCAAGATATATTATATCAACAATGATGTGCCATTTATTTGTATCAAGATATATTATATCAACAATGATATGTCATTTATTTGTATCAAGATATATTATATCAACAATGATGTGTCATTTATTTGTAGCAAGATATATTATATCAACAATGATGTGCCATTTATTTGTATCAAGATATATTATATCAACAATGATATGTCATTTATTTGTATCAAGATATATTATATCAACAATGATGTGTCATTTATTTGTAGCAAGATATATTATATCAACAATGATGTGTCATTTATTTGTATCAAGATATATTATATCAACAATGATGTGTCATTTATTTGTATCAAGATATATTATATCAACAATGATATGTCATTTATTTGTATCAAGATATATTATATCAACAATGATGTGTCATTTATTTGTAGCAAGATATATTATATCAACAATGATGTGTCATTTATTTGTATCAACAAAATGTTATTTATTCGTATAAACAAAATGCATCGTTTATATAAAAAAAACATTGACAAAGTTATTAAAAAATAATAACTTTCAAGTTATATTTCTTATTATTTAACTTAAAACTTTAACACCTCAATTTTTTATTGGTTTATCTTTAAACAGAGTCAAAAAAATAATAATTCAAGTGAAAGTTATAATTATAACTTCTGTTTTAACTTAAGTAACAATAATTATAAAAATAGTACAAATGTTTATTAACTTAAATAACAATAATTATTTAAGATAATGCTAAAGTTTATTAACTTAATAATAATTATTTAAGATAGTGCTAAATTTTTTTGACAAATAAAGAGGCTTGAGAAATGTTCTGCAAGATGCTCACCACCTTGCTAGTATAGAAACTATCATAGTGAAACACCAGTTTCACTATGATAGTTTCTATACTAGCTGATAAAGAATGTAAAAATGGCAAAAGACTGTTCAGTTTACAAAGTTGTCTGGAGATAATAAATAGATAATGAAACTAAATGCTTTTTGCATAAACAAACTTTAGAGTTTCACTTCTGACAAATATATAACTACTCTCATAAATTAGTTTGATACCTTACAAACATATGCATTGGAGGTCTTATAAACATACTCATATGAGAGAAGAGGCCTTCTTTCATATAAGAGAAGAAGCCCTTCCTTTATACGAGAGAAGAGACCTTTTTACAAATGTTTATAAAAAGAAAGAAAAAGAGGGGAAAATATAAATAATAAAAGATTTGTATTCATTCCTTAAATATTTATCATTATTTTTATACTTTAAAATATTAACCTAGAAAAATATTAAAAGGTATAAAAAAATTAAAATTTTTACTTTTGTATTTTACTTTTTTTTTAACTTGGTAATTTAATAAAAATTACTGGATTTTTTTGAAGATGCTCATGTTACCTTCTAATTAGTTCAAGTCTCTAACAACAACATAACAGCTACTTAACATGGCATTTATGCTATGCAGTTATCAGCAAAGCAATATGCCAAATACAAGGTTGTTACTATTAATTTTTCTTGTTTAAATTCTTCTTAAAAAATAAAATTTAACTCCAGCAAGGCTGCAAGCAAACACTAATTCGTTTGGAAGTTGGGAGCAAAAAATTAATAAAAAATTATGACAACAATTTTGAATAATAGGAAGAATATGATATATATAATGAATAGAGAGTGGAATGAATGAATGTATAGAGGTAGAGAACAAAATTAGTAGTTAGAAAATGCTTAACAGAATTTCATCTCATGTACGACAGAACCTTTTGTTGTAATGGTTGACAAAAAGGTTAGCAGTAGAATGATAGGATCAAAATCTGTATAGATCAGGGGCGGATTCAGCATTTTTTGGTCTTTGAGTTTATATTATTATATTTATTTCAAATAAGTCTCTCAATTTGAGATGACGTGTATCATTGAAGTGACAGGAAGAGTGTGACCATTTGGTTCAATATATGAATTAGACTGAATAAACTTATCTCTTTTTTGAATTTTAGTAAAAGAGCGTGAAAGAAGACAGGTGAAACTGGCCTAATCAAACTCTAATACCATAAAAAGAGATAAGGTTCTGCAAATATTGCCACAAAATAATTTAATTCTATTATAGAGTTTTATGGGGATAATGCAATCTTAGAACTTTTATTAACATTTCAAAAAACTTATAGGTTCCATAAGTACATTTTTAGGATACAACTATTGATATAAAACAAACTTTCTTTCAAAAAAAGCTTTCTTTATAGCTCCTTACATATAGCACTTTACAATATCAATATTATTATATACCAAATAACCAAATGAGTCACTGAAGTTCATATTTGAAAAAAAGTCTTGAAGTCATATTTGAAGTTTGAAATTATTATAAAATGTAAAATACCAGAAAAGCCAAAAAAAATAATAAAAATAACATGACATTAAAATGAAAATTTACAAAAAATATTGACAATGTTTCATATTAATACACCAATTTTAATAAACACAATTTAAAGGATTATTTTATTAGAGTTTTTAAATGTTATTTTTATTTCACAAGACAACACTTTTTTTCAGATTGAGTTCTTTATTTAGTTATCAATAAAAAAGAACCATAAATAATCAAAAAGTATCAACTTTGTTGATACTTTTTGATTATTTATGTTTTTATTCTTCAATAAATTAAGTATTTATAATTATAATTTTGTATTTAATTTAGATAAAACCCAATTTCTTTCAGCCAATTTTTATCACTATAATTTAGATCTTCTTTTATTTATGAACGGTAATGTACTTTATGAGTCATTTACCCTTTATCTTCTAGGACTAACTTTTACTTTCAATCTTTCATGGAAACCATATATCAAATCCATTGCAAAATTAGTATCTGCTTAGGTTACATCGCTTTATTGTGCTAGACACTTTCTTAGTCCTGATAATATCCTTTATCTCTATAAATCTAAAAATCCATCCTTGCATGGAATACTGTTGCAATATCTGGGACGAATCTTCCAATGATGCCATTTCTCTTTTTGACAACAAACACATTGTAAACATAGTTAGACCTGTTCTTGCAGCAAACCTCCAACCATTATCACATCACCGTAATATTTCTTCTCTTTCTCTTTTCTATAAATACTATTATGAGACTGCTCTAAAAAGCTAACGCCTCTTGTGCCATCTACTAAAATTCATTCTTGTGTTACTTGTCACTCAATTAAGTCTCATCATTTTACTGTGACTGTACCTAAGTGCTCAAAAACTCTTAATCATCTAATTTTTTTCCTCGAACATCAGTTCTTTGGAATTCACTTCTTTCATCTTCCTTCATCTTGCATTTCTGATTCATATAATTTGCAATCTTTCAAGTTGTCTGTCAATCATTATTTTGTTCTATAAACCTCATCTTTTCTCTTCCTGTAACTTCTAACTCTAATAGTAGTTGCTTGCAGCCTTTGTTGGAAACAAAGACATTGAAAAAAATAATAATAAATAATAATAAACACTTTAGAAAAGATTAACGAATAAAAGTTATTTATAACATAATGATTTTGTTATCGCATTTAAATTGTTAAAACATGGGAACAGCATTGAAAAGAAAAAAAAACTTAAGCGTGGTCAGTTACAGTATGAGATTGCATGCTATTCTTGTCTAAGTATAATACATGCATGCATACATGGATACATGTATTCATACATACATACATACATACATACATACATACATACATACATACATACATACATACATACATACATACATACATAAGTTATTATGTATGTATGTATGTATGTATGTATGTGGGTATGTATGTATGTATGTATATATGTATGTATGTATGTATGTATGTATGTATGTATGTATGTATGTATGTATGTATGTATGTATGTATGTTTGTATGTATGTATGTATGTATGTATGTATGTATGTATGTATGTATGTATGTATGTATGTATGTATGTATGTATGTATGTATGTATGTATGTATGTATGTATGTGTGTATGTATGTATGTATGTACGTATGTATGTATTTTTATAATACTAGTTGTTAGTTTTATTTATTTTTTTATTCACGAAAAAGTTAACTTATTTTACTTATTTAAATAATAATACTGTTAATTTTTTATTCAAAACACAAAATTATTCATTCAAAACACAAAACTATTATATTTTTTATTTGTTTAAAACAAAAAACTGTTGGTTTTTTTATTTTTATTTAAAACACAAAACTTTTAAGTTGTAAAGGTGTTAAAATTAAATTTATATAAATGAAGGTATTAGCATTCAAGAATAAAATTAAATTTACTTTTTTTTTTTTCTCCTGATATCTTCACTTTAAACAAGGTTGCAAGCAAACACTGCTAGAAATGGAAATTACTGGACAAAAAAAGATAAAGTTTATAAAGCAAGATGATTGACAGATGACATAAAAGATTGCAAATAATATGAATCAGGAAAACAAGATGAAGATGAGACAGCTGAACTCAAATTAGTCTTACAAAGAGCAATTAGGTCTGGTAAACTTTGCAAGAGAAAGACTTAACAGAAGAAAAGTTACTTCAAAGACCACGAGTATTAGTGAATGATAGGTTTAGAGAACTTGGTGATGACAATGATTTTTTTGTATTTTATATTTTTTGATAATTTAGTCATTTTTGAATTTGTTAAAGAAGTTGACTAAAAACATAGATAGTACTCAGTACGCTATTTAATAGCCCAAGCAATTGCCTCATTACTATTATTAAACCCTAAGCCATAACAAAGAGCTCCAAATGTGGCCTCAACAATGCACACCAAAAGTACAAACAGGGACACCATTCATGCGCAACATGGCACTGTTAATACTTTGATATTTTTCAGCTGTTAATGAAGTCTGCCTCTCTGAGAGCTACCACAGATATCAGGAAACCTGACTATCAGCTGGCTTCAGTACCATAAAACGGAGTTTTAGAGCTGTACCCTTATTAGGAGATAATAGAATAAGGTGCCTAGTCATAGAAACAGAGACACAAGCAAAATCCATGCATTGAGTCAAGAAGATCCAGCATTCAACATCCTTAACTGAAAACGATGTATTATAAATACATCTAATAGATGTACTAATAAAAATACAGCCTAATAGATGAAGAAGGGGTGCGAAGCTGGTCAACAGATAGAATGTGTTTAGCCCTTAAGTCTTAGCCTAGAAGGCCTTTTACAAGTTGGATGCATTTAATGTTGTATTTTTATGAAGTCACCATCTCTAGCTTTTACTCAACCAAGAGCCCAAGGCAAGGGTATTTAATTCAGAATTGGCTTCTCCTAGTCTTTGCCTAAAAAAGCATATCCCACAAGGCAGCAGGGCCTGAAGCAATTTGGCATACTAAAGTATGTATATAACTAAATCTAAAATGAAATATAAAAGCAGGATATCAAATTTAAAAATATCATTTATATTCAATGCATCTCTAATGTTACATCAAACCTGTGATATGACACATCTACATTTAGATAATCTCCCAAATAAAGTGTCCGAAATTTGTTAGTTAGTGTGGCTTTATTGTCAATAACCATTTGAAAATGTTCCGACAGAAATTCAACCATAGATAACAAATTATCTAAAAAAATAAATAGTTATACTTATACTATTCATACCTCACATTTCCTCACATTAATTTCCTCACATTAATTTCCTCACATTAATTTCCTCACATTAATTTCCTCACATTAATTTCCTCACATTAATTTCCTCACATTAATTTCCTCACATTAATTTCCTCACATTAATTTCCTCACATTAATTTCCTCACATTAATTTCCTCACATTAATTTCCTCACATTAATTTATTTCATCAAATTGTCATAATTTACAAAATTATTAATGCATATAAATCTTTTTTTAAATGTTATTAATAGAATAGAACATTTTTTAATGGAGTGCCAAAAAAAAACATGATGTAACAATAAGTGGAAAATATATACAATATCAAGGGGAAAGAAAGATCAGGAAACTTTCTTTGCCTCAAGGAAAAAGATTCTAAACTTTCTACAAGGTCGCAAGCAAAACTTACAACATTGTTTGAGTTCACCAGTCTGACTCTAAAAGCTATTATTACTATTTTTTACTTGAGCTCCATGGTTTTTTAAAATTATCAAACATCAAGTGAAGCCTTATTTTTTTGATATTAGAAACAACTTCCAGTTATACAACCAACTGCAAACTTTTGAATGTTCATACTGGTGTCAATTAAAGCTAATCAAAAAAAGAACAAAATTAGAACAAGAAAACTGAAAATGCAAGACAAACTGAAAAATAATAGTCACGTGATGAAATAATGTCAACTTTTTATATATATATTAATATGGATTTAAATTTTCATTCTTCATATTTTACTTTGAAACTCTCAAAAATTTAAATTTTTTAGAGTGTTTTTTTTATATATTTAATATTGGGGTTCTGTATACAGAAAAACAATCAAAAATTAAACTTACAAAAACCATTCAGAATCAATTTTTAAACTTTTCAAACATAACAGTATTCTACATGATAACAACATGGTTAAAACAGATATATTTTATAAACCTACAAATTCCCATTATCTAAACTATCAAAGTCATCATCTTAAAGATAAAAAAGAGAATATATCTTTTACTTACCAAAGTGCATTATTTATTTTGTTTCTAACCACACAATAAAGGAAAACAGACTTCAACCCAGTAAAAATTGCTATTAATAGATTCTTTAAAACTTGACTGCAAAAAACAGCTCCTAATCCCCAGTTCCTAACCCCCCTTCAAAAACCCCCATTAAAAAAAATGCTATAAAGTTAGCTAGTTCATTTTCCTAGCAGACAATAATAGCTAATGTAACATTTAGTTACAGTATACTAAATATATATAACTATGTATATATATATAGCTATATACAATTTAACAATTTGGTTTTATATATCTATTTGCTCTAAAGTCATATTAAGGACGCTTTTATAGCAAACTTTTATTATCTCTGATAAATTTAGTCAGCATCTTTATTAATGTAATAAATTTTTTTTTTTTTAAGTTACTTTCTGTGTTAAAACTTTCTACTGAGAATTTACTTCTTGAAGAAAATCTGCAATGAAGCTCACATGCAAAAATAGAGAGATGACACAATGAACATATAAAAATTGAAAATATTTATTTTCTCATTATTTTTACCCTTTTTGAAAAAATTGGAATTAGAAGAAATTTATAACAATATATATATATATATATATATATATATATATATATATATATATATATATATATATATATATATATATATATATATATATATATATATATATATATATATATATATATATATATATATATATATATATATATTATATATGTATATATATAAAATCTTTAACATCTGGTAACATTTTTAAGATTATTGAGTCCTTTCTTTCCGATTATAGTATAAAAATTGTCCTTGATGGATAGTACTCTTCTTTATATATTGTAACTTCAGGGGTTTCTCAAGGTTCAATCCTCGGCCCTAAACCCATTTTTTTTCAATCGTTATCGCAATAATTTAGATCTTCCTAAAATTATGGACGGTAATGTACTTGATGAGTCATATACCCTTCATTTTCTAGGATTAACTCTTACTCTCGATCTTTCTTGGAAACCCTATATTAAATCCATTGCAAAATCTGCTAAAGTTGCATCTCTTTATTGTGCTCGACACTTTCTTACTCCGGGTTCTATTTTTTATCTCTACAAATCCGTTCTTGTATGGAATACTGTTACCATATCTGTGGCAGATCTTCTAATGATGCCCTTTTTTTTTAGACAAGGTGCAAAAAACGCATTGTAAACATAATTGGATCTGCTCTTGCAGCCAACCTCCAACCATTATCACATCATTGTAATGTTGCTTCTCTTTCTCTTTTCTACAAATACTATAATGGGCACTGCTCTAAAGAACTAGCATCTCTTGTAGTGAATTCAGCTAACCGAATTGACGGTTAACCGGATTTTGTTTGAATATCAAATATCTATATTCAAATAATAAAAACTGACTTTTTTGACTTTTAACTTTTTATTTTTTAAAAAACACTTTTTTAATAAGTTGATTTTAAAGAATTAAACACAAATCAAGCAAATTTAAAATTGTTTTCTCTTAGAGTTTTAGTTTCCTCAATTTAGTTAATTTTTTCATTTTACTCTTTTGTTATGTTTTTTGTTTTTGTTGTTGTTTTTTTTGTTCGAGTGAGCGAGTATTTTCAACAACCGGAAATATTATTACAAAAAAAAGAAATCAATTAACGCCAGAACATGCAGAGATGCTGATTTTTCTGTATGAAAATTCAGTTACGTGGAAACCTGGTTGCTGATAATGAAGAAGATGATGATGATGATGATGATGATGATGATGATGATGATGATGATGATGATGATGATGATGATGATGATGATGATGATGATGATGATGAAATATAAATCAGCAGTGATATTGAGACAATGAATGATAATGACGATAATTAAACAATAATTGTACATTATTTCTACCTTTTTTAATTTCTGTTCATTTATATCTTTTTCCATGTTTTGTTGGAAATATATAATATAGGACTGTAGTCACTGACTGACATGACAATGTACAGTTTTAACATTGATTTTTTCAAAATTAGTTTAAACAAAACACTACGTTCATTGAAATTTAGAAAATCCTGTATTCAGAAAGTGTCACTAATGACAATGAGTAAACTGTCATTCCTGATGGGCAAATATTTAACAAAAGCAAAACAGTTTATGCTTTATAAGACTTTTCGGTTAACATAATAGTTGGTTAACTGCAAATTCATGGTAACTGCTATCCGGTTTTTTAAATGGATACTAAACAAATACACTAGTCTCTTGTGCCATTTAATAAAATTCATTTTTATGTTACTGGTCACTCAATTAAGCCTCACCTTTTTTCTGTGACTTTTCCTAAGTGCTCCAAAAACTCTTATTTGTCTAGCTTTTTTTCCTCGAACATCAATTCTTTGGAATTCGCTTTCTTCATCTTGTTTTCCTGATTCTAATATTATTTTCCTATACATACATACATACATACATACATACATACATACATACATACATACATACATACATACATACATACATATATATATATATATATATATATATATATATATATATATATATATATATATATATATTATATTTATATATATATTTATATATTTATATATTTATATATATATATATATATATATATATATATATATATATATATATATATATATAGTATTCATATATAGGTAAATTCTATCGGTTGACTACTCTGTTAGGTTACCAGTCACTAGTGGTGTCCCACAAGGATGTGTTCTAGGACCTTTTCTATTCATCTTATACATCAATGACATCACCAACCTTATTAGCAATCCAATAAAGTTATACGCTGACGACAGCAAAGTTATTTCCACCAACTTGACAAGTGAGAGCCCAGCTTTGCTCTAGAAGGATAAAAATCACAACACGTCTTGGTCTCTAACTTGGTACTTACATCTTAACTACAAAAATTCCACTTATTGTACGTTTTAACAAAAGTAAAAATCCTAATCACCAATACTATATCTTGACTCAGCTAGGAATGCAGCTTCTTGATTCCTTTTACAACGAAAGAGATGGCATTTGCATTTCACACAACCTCAAATGGGACACAACCTCAAATTTCACACAACCTCAAATGGGATTGATAGAGTGTTAATTGATAGAGGGTTAATTGATAGAGTGTTAACTGATAGAAGATTAATTGATAGAGGGTTAATTGATAGAGGGTTAATTGATAGAGGGTTAATTGATAGATTAATTGAATGATAATTGATAGAATGTTAATTGATAGAGGGTTATTTGATAGAGGGTTATTTGATAGAGGCTTAATTGATATTGGGTTAATTGATAGAGGGTTAATTGATAGAAGGTTATTTGATAAATTTTTAATAAATAGAAATATTTAAGCTACATTATTTTCATATTTCTGGAAGATTTAAGTGGAAATGTTCAACCACTCCAAGATAGTTGTGAATGTAATTTGAGTTATTGCACAATATTTTAGAATATTTTCTCAGATTAAAATATCTTAATTTCTCAAATTAAAACACTTTTATTTTGGTTTTGCCAACTTTTGTGCACTTGAAAGATTATTACCTTTTGTTAAAAAAATTTAAAAAAAAATCCATAAAAAAGTTAAACTTGAATGCTTTCTTAGTGATTTGTTACTATTTTTCTGCAAGCATAAAGTTTACATGCAAAAAAAATTTCATTGGAATAAAGTATTTTCAATACAATAATTTTCTTTTAAAATATGTTTTTCATTAAGCTCACAATGCAAAAAAAAAAAACTTTCATTGAAATAAAGTATTTTCAATACAATAATTTTCTTTTAAAATTCAATTTTTCACAAAACTTTCTTTCTTTCACAAAACCTTTTACAAATAACTCATTAATTCCATAATGTTCATGTTTTATTAATACAAACTTTTTCATTTTTTGGCATAAATTTATTTTGCATTTTCTAACATAAATTTTCTATTAAATAACTATTTTAATTTATTTAAAAGTTTGTGGTTAACTTACCTAAAATATCAGAACTCATTATGCTGTAAAACTGTTTATAAAGTTTCGTACGTTGAATTTCAAAGTTTATCTAAATTTAAAACTTATATCAACAGAAAATGTTTACAGTAGCAGAAAAGTTTTCCAAGAATATCTAAAAAGACTTTTCAAATTTTTAGAAACACTTTTCTAAATTAACAATCAATCAAAAACGAATTTGTTAAATTTATTTATTCATTTTATAAAAAAACCAATTATTTAATCACTTTAAAAGTATTACAACAAAAACAATACATGTGTCAGCTCTTTGTTCTTTTTAGTAAGCTCTTTAAGAATCTCTATGAATTCTACAGATGCATGACGCTCAGCGTTTTCTAACTAAACTTACAAATAAATTCAAAAGATACAAAAAATTAATTAAACATTTAGTTTTCAACATTTTTCAATTTGGAAAACATTAAGCAGTAATTAATTGCAGTAAAAACATATTCATCACAATTGTAAAATAATTTTTTATTTACATAAAAAAAAGTAGATAGTTAAACAAGTTTTTATACTTCCTTTTTTTAAAAAAAAAAATTTTACCTAAATTTATTTTATAATATTTAAATTAAATTTATTATTAAATATTAAACAATTCAAATTTATTTTTTTGAATTTAGCCAAAATTTAGGGCAGTTGTATTAAAACACAACGCTTGAATCTTGTCCATTTTTTTAACTGCTGAATACACAGATTTTGACAGTAAATCTCTGCACTATTTGTAAAAACTAATTAGGAAACTCCAATTGCTCTTCTTCTCCACATCAAATTAAAACTGCAACTCTCTTGACATTTTCTTTACTCAAAATATCGGGAAGTAATTGATAGATTGCAACAACAGTTAATATATACTTCAACCAAAACAACAAAAGGTTGAAGTATACATTGGCCTTAAATTAAACAAAGAAAAAAATTCAAAACAAGAGCTTTTAATAATTATTCTTATATTTAGAATACAATTTCATGAATATTGTTTTAATTTCTATAATCATTTCAAAATTTGTTTGATGAATAATTAATTAATAATTTTTTAAGACAAATTATTGGCATTAATTAATTTACAATAATTTTTTTTAACTAAACTTAATAAAGTATAACTATAATAATATTAATGGGTTATTACTAATCTTTATCTCTTGAAAATTATAACTGATGTTATTAAAATGAAAATTATGATGTCATTATATTTGACACCTTTGATTATTTTCTAAAGCAAAAACTTTTCCATTAGCAAAATGCTTTTTTAGTAAAGCAATTATAATATTATTAGTAATGCAAATATAAATAAAAATTGATTTAATTTTTTAAAATCATATCGAAATGATAAATAAAACATACTTGATGTAAAGTGCTTCCATTTGTAAACCTTTCATTGATATCAATTATCTTTTTGAAACCATCTAGAGACCCTGAAGTCCATGGATTACTAGACATCTTGTTATATTAACAATTTTAAGATTTGAAAAAGTTTTTAAAAAAATCAAAAATTTTGCTGTTTATTATTATTTACATATTTATAGAACTTACATATAAATAATGTAGTTTTTATATTTAAAAAAATTTGTTATATTTTCATAAATATTTATATTAAATTAACTATATTTTCTTTTATTAGTAATTATATCAGTAAGTATTTTTTTAAGTTAATGAATTATATATATATATATATATATATATATATATATATATATATATATATATATATATATATATATATATATATATATATATATATATATATCGATGGCATAGTGCATAGTGCACAGATGTGGTTAGTGCACTAAGCCATCGATAAATATATATACATATATATATATATATATATATATATATATATATATATATATATATATATATATATATACATATATATATATATATATATATATATATATATAAATATATAAATATATATATATATATATATATATATATATATATATATATATATATATATATATATATATATATATATATATATATATATATATATATATATATTATGACATAGTGAAGTTTTTACAGTTTTTAATTATGGCACTATGCCATAATTAAAAACTGTAAAAACTGTCATTTGCGCGCGTAATTATAATAAGAAGAATTTTTGTATTTACCACATATTGTCAATTAGTAGACTATTTATCGTTTATCTACACATACTATATATATGCACGATAAACTATAAATAAAAATACGTTTTTCTGCGTACTTATCTCAATTTGACCAAAATTTGTACTTACCATATCTGTGCACTATGCCATCAATATATATATATATATATATATATATATATATATATATATATATATATATATATATATATATATATATATATATGTATATATATATATATATATATATATATATATATATATATATATATATATATATATATATATATATATATGTATATATATATACATATATATATATATATATATATATATATATATATATGTGTATATATATATATATATATATATATATATATATATATATATATATATATATATATATATATATATATATATATATGTATGTATGTATATATATAAAAATTTTAATTTCATTTCTATATTGCTTTTGGATCAGAGATTAAATTGCCAAATGCATAAAGTACAATAACTTGATGAGTCACAATGAAATAGTATTTCATTATTAAAAGAAATACTCAAAGTTCCTGTATTAAATAAACCTGTAAACTAAAAAAAAATGTTTGGTATAGACTATTTACACAAGAACATTTACAAAACACATTAATAAAAAAGATAATGAACTGTAATAATATATCACATCTGCCTAAAATATCACATCCTCTTCAGAAAAACTGAAAACGAGAATGTGCTTTCGAGTTATTGCACATTAAAATGTATCAAGTACATCCAAAACATTGAAGTACATAAACAATATATTAAAAATGCAACAAGATTCACAAAAAAAGTTTTATTAATAATATACTAAAAATGAAGTTAGCTGAAATAGTAATATATATTAAATTCATACTTATAAAATTTTTATCTTAATACATTGAGTGACATTAATTTTAAATATTACACACAAGGGATGTGATATTCTAGATACCAATTACTAATCATTTGCATTATATTAAAAATTGTTTAGGGAATGTAATATTCTAGAAGCCTGCACAAAGTAAGAATTTCAGCTTCCTTTTGCAATATATATAGATTACACAGGGGGATGTGATATTCTAGATACAAAATATTATATTTTATAATATTGTATAAACTACTTAGGGGGATGTAATACTTTAGAAGCCTGCATAAGGGAATTTGATATTTTAAGTAAGAATTTAAGCTTATTATTGCATTATATTAGGAATGTACCAGAATTTGTGACTTTTAGGTCATTCTGGTTCCGAACGGAATGCCAGAATTGAATTTTTACTTTTATTTTTTAAGACATGTGATACAGACTGTGTAAATTAAATCAAAGAATCATTGTTCTACAGGGCAATGAAAAACTATAGGTAATTCTAGGTAAGAAAACACAAAATTCTTAACAAAAACTATGTTATTTTATTTGCAGTAACCAATTATGTAAGGATTTTTAGAAGTTTAGGAATATTGTGGTGCAAAAAGAGTTGCTATTCAGTTTTGGGCAACAAACTAGCTCTTTTTTCATCAAGAATGTTAACCTGCCTCTGAAAATAGTCTCATTTGTGAGAATGTAATTTAAATTTTAATGTAATGTAATTAAATTTTAAGCAATTAAAAAGTATATGATGTCTAATATAGAAAATATTTCAATTTTAATCTAAACGTAAAAATAGAAAACAAAGAAATAATTTTAAATATAAATATTATGCAGGTTAAAACTTTCAATAAATAAAATTATATTAAACAAATAAAAACAAAACATTAGATTTAAATGAAAAAAGAATCAAAGAACCATATATAGAATCATATATGAAAAACACCTTTTTATGAAATAGTCTGCTGCCACCCCCTAAATGTGTTCTATGTTATAAATTAATACTAAATTTAAAAAATTTTTAAATAAAAAAAATTTTTAGGGGTCACTCAAGACTCTTAAACATCAGACAGGTCTCTAATATTTTGAAAAAAAAAGTTTTTCAAAAGCATATCATGTTGGGTCTCAAAAGAAATGAAATTTTATAAAAGTTTCAAAAACAATAAACATTTTATATAAAGATTACTAGCTTTATGGCTTAAAAACTACAATTGTTCAACAAAAAATAAAAAGTACATTTTTTCAAAGTTTTCTAAATAAACTTTTTTTAATTTGTGTTTCCATAAATTTTTTTATTATATATATTTTTATATATATATATATATATATATATATATATATATATATATATATATATATATATATATATATATACATATATATATATATATATATATATATATATATATATATGTATATATATATATATATATATATATATATATATATATATATATATATATATATATATATATATGTATATATATATATATATATATATATATATATATTACGGGTTATAAATATATATTATGTAGCCACTATACTGAGGTGCAGGCTTTCACTTTCAATCTTAAAGGTAAAAAATTACATAAGAGGTCGCCCATAAAGTATGTACTCTTTTACCTCGAACCTCCCCCCATGCATTTTGCTATACGCATTATGTATCCCTCACCTCACTTATATTTTCTATGCTTTTAACCTACCTACCTAATATTTTATGATATTTTCTTTCAATTTAGTGTTTTCTTACTTTATAATTGACCCCTGCCCCCCCCATCTCATATACGCCATTTGCAGACCCCCTCTTCCCATACGAGCGTAGGTACATTATGGACGATCCCTAAGTATAATTCTTGTTCCATCCAGAATTCCAGTTGGAATTTTATTAACAATTCCAGCAAGTCTATTTCCAACGGGAATTCAAATTTAATTTCTTATCCAGTACACCCCTACATCATATGTATAATGATTATGGGGAGGGGGGTGATATTCTAGATGCCAAATACTAATACTTTGCAATATTTTAAAAATTAACTAAAGGGAAGCCTGAATAAAAGGGATGTGATATTAATTGTGTTTGAGTTTTGTTATCAACTTTGACTTAATTGACTAAAAGTTTATTAGTCGAAAGTCAAAATAACTGACTTTCAAAAATCGTAAAGTCAATTTAATTGACTATGGATTTCTTACTAATCGACTAAAAGTTGATTTAGTCGATTAATGATTTTAAAATTCTTATATCTATTCAATTTAATTTTACTTATCTTTTAATTTTTGTTTTTTCAATTAATAACGATAGCATGTACTATTGCAACTTTTACATGGTATCTTTTCGAGCTATGAGTCAACGATTTGCTGAAGAATAATTTAGAACCAGCAGTTCCAGCATTAAGAGAGCTCTTTAAAGATAACACCTTACTATCACAAAGAAATATGTAGGGCATTCAGCTGTTTTCACGCCTGAAGAAGAACAGTCATTTTGTGATCACTTGAATAAAGTTTCAACTTTTGGCTACCCACTGACCTCATTTGATCTTCGAATTATTGTGAAATCCTATCTAGATCAATTAGGGAGTGATGTTCAATGTTTCAATGAAAATCTTCCAGGTGTCAAATGGGTAAATACCTTTATTAGAAGACATCATCAGCTATCCAAGAGATTTGACAGAAACCTCAAAAGGGTCAGGGCTGCACTACACTACAGGGCTTTTACACTATGGGTTTAAGTAGCCCTACAACAGGGGCTATTTGAATCGAACCTTGATCCCCCAAAAAAAGAGGGGACCACAAATTCCACCCAAAGGGACCACAAAGTCCATAAGTTAGCAAAAACAAATTTTTTTACATTGACATAAATATGAGAGAACCACAAACATCAAACATGTTTCAAGTTTGGGTCCAAGCAAATCTTCCAGGTGTCAAATGGGTAAATACCTTTATTAGAAGACATCATCAGCTATCCAAGAGATTTGACAGAAACCTCAAAAGGGTCAGGGCTGCACTACACTACAGGGCTTTTACACTATGGGTTTAAGTAGCCCTACAACAGGGGCTATTTGAACCGAACCTTGATCCCCCAAAAAAAGAGGGGACCACAAATTCCACCCAAAGGGACCACAAAGTCCATAAGTTAGCAAAAACAAATTTTTTTACATTGACATAAATATGAGAGAACCACAAACATCAAACATGTTTCAAGTTTGGGTCCAAGCGGGTCCATATCCTAAGTTTGGCTCCAAGTAGCCCCATATGCAAAATTCTTCAATTCGGCTCCAAATTTTGCGCTAAAATTCTGTGCCACTTTTTTCAAAGTCCATTCAGAGTTAGAATAGTGAAAACATGTTTTGTCAGATAACTTTTTAGAATTTGATATCAACATTTTATTATTATTTTAAAAAACTAGAATAGTTAACCTTTTATTACTGTTTGGTTTATGATTATATTGACTAACTTTATTACTGAGTTTATTGATGTCAAAAACTTGGTTATACTTCTGGCATGAAATTAATGTCAAAGATATGCTGAAACTTTTTCAATTATATTCTTTCACCTAGATTTTTCATTTAATTTTTAGTAGCAGGCACCCTATTTTTAGTAGCACTTTTAGTACCTAATTTTTTTTTTCAATGTCTATTTGGAAGACAGAGGGATTACTTAATTATTTTATTTTACATTAGATTTAGATAAACTACTAAAAAATGAACAGTCAAGAAAACTATGAAAGTTTTATGTATTATTTCATTTAAATCCATTATATAAACATTTTTTTTATTTCAATATAAAGTAATGGCGCTATTTTTAATGTTTCCTTTCTTTAATTTAACTTATATTATAAAATTTTTATTTAAAATTTTAATATTTACATTTACATTACAAAAACATTTAAATAAACTTTTATAAATTTTAATAAAAGTTAAAAATGTTAAAATGTTTTTCTTTACAAAAGTTGTATATATTATAAAAAAAGGTTTACACAGATTTTCAATTGGTTATTTGTTGGAGATGAAACATTTTAAATGTCATTTAATAACCAAAAGCATTGTTTAAAATACATATAACTTAAACAAATAAAAAAAATTTGTTATACTGTTTTAGCTGCTAAAAATATTTTAATGGCTGAGTTAGCCATTAACATCAGTTAGTTATTTTATCTCTTCAATATCATAATAATTATATACTTTTTATTAGAGATCAATATATATAATATATAAAAATGTTTGTATTACTTTGTACAATAATGTTTTTTTTTTATTTTTTATTTAAAATTTAATTATTGTTTCGATAAAGTTGATTGAGAAAGAATAAATATAAGTTGGTTTAATTTTATATGATTTATTATTTTATTACATAGTTGTTTTCTCTTAGTATTTAATTATAGTTGAGTATTTATTGTTGATAGTTTTTTTATTAGTTATAGTTGAGTATTGATTATTTATTTTGAGATTATTGTCTAATCACATAATTTATTAATAGTTTTATTCTTATATACTTATTACTTCTTTTTTACTTAGTTTTTTTTTTTTTCTATAGCCAATTTAGAACAAGTAAGTTAAGTTTGACTTGTTTAGATGTTTAGCCATTTAAAATTGTTTATAATAATAAGTTTTAAGTAATAAGCTGCATAAGTTTTTGATCCAATACAATCTAATTACATGCAAAATCTGTTTTGTATAATGGCATGATGAAACTGGTATTGAGGCTGTTGATTATTGTATGAAAAAGATCCAACTTGCTGCAGATGTTGTCTCTGGAGAGTTACAATTTTATTAATTGTAACTCCCCAAAATTAAAAAAACTCATCGTAAGTGCTGTGACTTTGTAAAACTCATTTCAAGTGCTGTGACTTGCAATAACTCATCGCAAATACTATGACCTGAAAAAACTCATTGTAAGTGCTGCAACTTGCAAAAACTTAATGTAAGTGCTGTGGCTTACAAAAACTAATTGAAAATGCTGTGGCTTGCAAAAATACATTGCAAGTGCTGTGACTTAAAAAACTTTTATAGGCGGTTCTGGCTTACCTTCACTTGGTGTCTATTATTAAAAATGATTACTAAATTTCACAGCTTTTGAAACCAAACTTCTATTAAGCACTATATGAAAGATTAAAGGGTTTATAAAGGTTGGTAAATGCCTTGATTTGATTACCTCTTTTACCACTATTGACTAATAATAGTCCCTTAGTAGTAGGAGAATGCTTTAGTAACTTTTCCCCAACTAATCAAAAATGTTACTTTCAAATAAAAATTTGCTACACTTATTTAGGTTGGGGGGTTATGTTATACTTGTTATACTTCTTTGTTGCTGTACTTTATATAACCAATTAAATATTATAAGATTGAAACATTTTTTGATTATATAGTGTTAAATATCATAACCACATCTACTATGTGTTTAACATTTATCTCTCATATTTTGTGGATTCCATTATTTTATCATTTTTAAAAATTTTTTTTTTTAGGTTGGACAAAGAAAGGGGGCATACGCCCCTCCTGTAATATAAACACTACTTGTACAATAAAATCGTGTATAACATAATTTTATATTGTATTCTATTTTGTATACTAAAGTGTTCAGTTTCATACGGGTAAGGTGGTGGTTTGGTGCCCTTTCTGCCCATCCGATATGACCGGTGGTTAGAGTTTAACATAAATTTGTATCCCACTCTTGCACCTATCTTTTGAAACCAAGATATTTTTATTTTGATATAAATTGACAAAGTTATGACAATTTAAGTGAAGAAAAACATAAATTTGACCACAGTTTCTTCAACAAAACACATATATAGAAAAATCGGTACTTAAACAGTCATAACTTTTGAACAAACTGGTCAATTTTGAAAACTTTTTCACCTTTAATATACTGTATTGATCCTCTTATCAATGATATATTACATTATAGTATTCAAACAATTTGAAATTTTATCTATATTTCTACCTTAGTTATTTATACAATATTGCAAATTAATGTTTGGTATCTAGAAAATCACATTCCCCCTCATTAATCTTTAACATTATTGTCATGCATTATATTACAATCAAAATTTTATAAGTATGAATTTGGAATATATTATCATTTCATTCTAACTTCGTTTATAGTATATTATTAATAAAACGTTTATAGTATTTTCGTTTATAGTATATTGTTAGTAAAATCTCGTTGCGTTTTTAATATATTGTTTATATTCTTAAATGTTTCGGACGTAACTTTATCCAATTCTAATTGCAATAACTTGAAAGCGCATTCTTTTCTACGGGGGATGTGATATTTTATCACATGAAACTTGAAGGTTTATGTCTTAGTGCAGTTCACTATGTTTCAAAAGAACTCTTCGTGTGCACATACGTGTTACAAGCAAACTTTTTGTTGATATGATATCCTTATATAAAAAGGATTTATAAAGTAACAGGTGTCACTTGATATTTATGGTTTGCGTCACGTAGTATGACGTTATAGCAAAAAAAAATTTTAATCGTTATTTTATACCATTAGAAAGAGCATTAAATAAGCTTTCAAAGTCATATAAAAAACATATGTTGAAAATTTTTACTTTATAAAATACACGATTTTTTTTGTATAAGCAACTTAGAATTTCGGTCAGAACTTGAGTTGCTTATTTTTCAGCCAATTTCTATATCTCGAGTTACTTAATGGTTGCTTAAGTTTCTTAGCCTAAATTTCAGTATTTTTACGAATAAGAGACAAAATACGGTTTAATATCAAGTCTTTAACAGAAGAGTGCTCTTTACAACTAAAATCACTTAAATTCTAATTAAAAAAAAAGGTCACAAATGTTTCTCTCTTCTGCTGGATCTTTATTTTCTTCATCTCCACTCTCTTCGTCTTCTTGTCCGTCTGATTTTTCTACTTGTCCATCTAGTTCCTCTTCTCCGTCTGATTCGTCAGGCAAAACATCAATATGGTTATCCTTTACTTCGTCTGGAATAGGAGTCTCTGTGATTTCCACCAGGATGTCAATGTCAACAGGGGGTGGAACAACATAAGCAGGCATGCCTTCAGGATTTATCTTATCGTCCTCGCTACCATCAGCTGTGATAAGACATCCTGTTTTCGCAAAGCTCCTATAAAGCATACGAAGAAATAACTCGTCTTTGGATGTTTTACGGTAAGCTTCACCGACCCAACGAGTTATCAAAATGCGGCGATCTTTTGCTGACAGTTTCCGATCATCGTTGCCAAGGCAGAGTTCAATGTTTTCATCATTTTCGAGACAGATTTTTTGTTCTGCTTTAATATGTGATTTGAATGCTTTTCCTGGTCCGGCATCAACATGTTGCCAAAAATGTGTCCCGTTGGGAACACCAAACCAGACAATACCTTTATGTTGTCGCACTTCATTCAAAAACTCATTACTGACTTGGGCTGTCAGGTTATTGCAGAACAAAACATACTCATCCAGGTTAGCGACAGCAATGGAGAGAGTGTTCTTCACCCATTTCACGGAAAACGCTGTATCTGCCCATGCATTTGGTTGCCAGTACACATCTACATCAGTATCATAAGCTAAAACTTCATCTTGACTAATCCTTTTCCCTTACCTTAGAAAATTAACGCCGGCTTCACCATTCCTTCAGGAATGAAACATATTTGAAGGGTAGCTTGTCGTTTATCAAGCCCACTGCCAGATTGAGCTACCCATACTCTATGGTCCCTTCGTTCCTTTCCCTTACTCATTGGAATTTCGTATGTTCGTTTGCTCTCGACTACAAACAGGAGTGGAATTTGATCTACATTGATTCTCTTTTTCGGTGGGAAACGCGCCCATTTTTTATTGTATGTGGGTTTGTCACTTCCAGACTTAATCAACTTTTCTCTCAAATTTGAATGCCATTTCATCAGAATCGGGGTTTGCTTCTTTACGTCAGCTTGGCGCTTACGTTGAACACACAGCATGCGGATCTTATTTTTCCTTAAGAAATGAGTAACTATTGATTTTGGCAATCTGTCAGCATTCGGGCTTTTTTGTAGATGAATTTGATTCGCTCGGACATACAACCACTCAAAGTTAACTTTTAGCCACTTTTTTCTTGCTTCGGAAAATTTGTCATAAAGTTTGTTAAACAAAGCTTTGTGTTTCTCGCCTCTTCGGCATTTCCTGAATAACGCGTTTTTCTTTTTTTCGTTGTACTTGTTGTAGATTTCTTTTACCTTTGATTTCCATCGCGTAATCATACTCTTATGAACGTTATACTTTTTTGCTACATCCCTACTTAACATACCATCGTTTAAGTCATTTAGCGCATCAACCTTTACTTTTAACGTATAGCTCTTCCGTTTGTCAGCAATTTTTGGTAATTCGTTAGCTTCAACATCAGTAACAAGCTTCTCTAAAACCGATTTCACAGTTTTTTCAATATTATTGTACTTGTTCTCTCCATCAATGATTTGATCCAAGCTCATTGATTTCGGGTCTTTGTCAGTTTGAGCAATATCCGTATGTGATAACTTATTTTTACACCAAAACTCGTGCATCGAAAGGGCTTGTGATGTTTTCAGTAATTTTTTGCAAACAATACATTCAAACAAATTATCTTCTTTTTTCTTCGGCACTACATTTACCAACTCACCACGATGACAAATCTTTTTGGTAAAACCAAAGTTGAACAAATTTGTCTGCTTTCTCTTACTCGTGATCTTAACAGCGTTGTCAACAACGTACACAACAACAACACTACTGTGATTACTTTCTTTTGAAATCGTTCATCTAAAAGAAGTCATTACATTGCAGAGAAAAAAGTTGCAGTTTATGAGTTGCTTATGTTAACATTTGTTCAGAACTGAAGTTGCTTAATATTTTTTCACATCGAGTTCAGTTGCTTATAAACGAGTTGCTTATACAAAAAAAATCGTGTATAGAACGTTATGTAAGTTACCAAACCGGGGGTTATTTACAAAAATTAACACTAGATAAAAGATAAATTAAGTAAAACTAAAATAATTAAGTTCGTATATATATATTAATATTTGCATTGTTTTAACATATAAATAATATCATACGTAAACCAATGTTAAATGTTAAATAAATGTTATATGTTAAATTTATCGTGCTTACAAGCTAGTATTTAATAATACGAATAAATTAAATTGCGTCTTATATATCTCTACATTCATAGTCATAGTTTACCTTATTCTACATTATTATTTTTACATCCTTTACACTTGCACATATCAGTACAGACAAGTTTATTTTTCAAACATTTGCAACTTTTATTATTACAGTCTCCTTTACAACGACAGACACTGGTTGGTTATCAGTCATTATAGGGTCAAAAGATCCATTGTTTAGTTCCCAACCATACTCCACAGGCGATGGTAGGTACTGTACGGACATGTTAGAGTATTTAAGCATTATACATACAAAGTGACTACGGAATATATGGTACTTAAGGACATTTATTGTTGGTGGAAATTTTGCAGCGTCATACTGAAATTTAGAGAAAAGGAACCAACGAAGTTGTGAAAGAGTATTAACATCTTCTGTCCATTTTTTATCACCAAAAACTCTAACAACAAAACGATGTTATTTATTGTAAACAGATCAGGTAAAGCTTCCGATTGACCACGATTTGATAGAACAGCTGGGGTTCCATCGTCAGCTTTTTTAAATTTTTTCCACCATGACTTTTTAGTGATTCCAGAAAAGCGTCCAATTTGATCACAGCCAGTAAAACCATGAAAACCTAGAGAAATGAAAAATTTCACGAAGACCTTTACTTTCATTAGAAATGAGAAACAACAAAATATCAACAAAAATATCTAAAATGGCTTGTGCTTGTTTAGAACCAATTCCTCATAACATTTTTGAATCGAGATGTTTTGTTCCTTATCCCCTTTACCAGTTCGGAAAATTGTGACACGTGGTAGGACTTGATAAAAATGAACTAAAAGTAGAAAAACATCAGTATCTTGTGAATGCACTATACATTTTTTAATGGGTTTTCTTTTGCAACGTCAATGGCACGCAAAATTAACAGAGTATCAGCCTCTTCGTGACCATGATTCATCATTTCTGCAGATAGATGGTCCATATTTGCTTCTGTTGTTTTTGAATATGTACAATGAAGCGAACTGCACTATCTATATTAGTTTTTGTATATTCAACCAGGTATTCGGTAAGAGCTTACTTTGTTTTAATGTGCACCAATAACTGCTTTAGCGACATGTTACAAACTCATCAGTTACTTTATATTTGGTTTCATAGTCAAAGATACGTTGTTTTTTTTGTTCTAGACTTTAATGAATGTTCAATGTACCTGTCAAAAACCAATCTTATCTCTTCGCAGTTTTGAGATTTTTATAAATATTTATGAGCATACTTTTCTAAGAAAGCTAATAAATATTGCAGCAAAATCCGGAATAATTTAACATATATGAGTATTTATGTTGCATAAGATTTAACTTTAATTTCGTTTTAAATATTATAAGCCGATGTCAATTAACTTATCAATTATACATACACAGTTATTACAGGGAACAGTACAATAAATAACAAGTGTTACCTTCCAAGTTTTAATACTGTTATCTTTATGAACTTTATTGACCAAGGTCATGCCATCAATAATGATAATTGATGCATTTACTGAGATTTCTTGTTCTTGCGTCAAAATCTCTAATCTTTTTGACAAGTCTTCAACGTCATGCAGAATTTTTTCTTTATCAGAGGTGATCAATGGGTGACCATCTTGAGTAAACATCGATTTTGGTACAACTGAAAACTCATAGCTACCGATGCTTTTTTCCAAATCAAGCTGTGGGCGTTTTCTTGCACAGAGTAGAAAACGAGATAATAAGGTGCGCTCTTCTTTTAGTTGAATTACTTTATTATTTATCTTTATTTTTGAAACTTTGGCTTGATTTTGGAATGTTTTCAGATTTCTCATCTTCATTTGCGACCATATAGATATGTCTCCTATTAACCATTCAGTAACAAAAGAACGGTAGAGCTCTTCTTTGATCTTTTCATGATGAACTAATTCATCTGCTAATTCTTTTAACAAAATGGTTTTCGACACAAGATTAAAAACCACCTGATTTTTGTTGAAGTTGACGCCAAAAGTATCAAGTGCATCAATGACTTTTTTTACATTAGATGAATTTCTTTCGTGTGTAGATCCCGCCGGTTGATAGTGTTATTTGCGAAATTGTGATCCAATATTTTTTTTTTTGCAAAATATTTTTGATATAGAGTTTAAAGCAGGAGCAATAAGGCAAAAACGACTTAAGCACGTTGGATTTTGTGTAATACTAATTACTCCACCTGCTACCTTTAAAACCTTGTTTTTCTGTTCTAAGGCATGATCAGAACCAATATTAAAGAAAGGAATGCCAATATTAAGAGGTACAAATGCGCATTGATTTGTTGATATGTTTTCAATAACAATAATTTTTTTTATAACACTATCATAGGAAATAGAAAGTCCAAGATATGCAAAATTTTATCAACACGGCTATCGATGGATTTTTTTTAACATAACACGAGTCTACATTTTGTCTTGGTCCAAGCATAACCCACCTTAGCAAAGAAAATAAGGACGTCGGATTATCAAAACCAGTGAAATTTCAGTTAAACTTCCATTTTCTTTGCGGCAGGATTTCTTTCCGAATTATTTTTGTTGCCTCAAACATTGTTTTATAATCATCCTGATTGTTTTTAAAGTTATCTACCGCCTTCGCTTGATATTTGCTAGAGCAAAGCTGTTCAGACTTTCTACGGCACGATGGTCTTGAAAAAATTGTTATTGGCATGTTATCTTATAGAAGTTTCTTTAAGTTACGTTTATAATTCACCTCAGCCTAGTCATTATTCCCAATTAAGTTATTGTAAGTTTTATTGATGTTGTTCATATCCATAGCAAAACCATCTTCTTTTAAGTTCAAATGGACTAAACCAATGATTTTTATATCTGCGATAACTCATCCAATATCATCCAATTCTTGAATTTCTTCTAGAGTTGTTGTCAATTTAACTCTGCACTGTTACCCAACACTTTAAGTGGTATTTAGCACCATTTGCAACGGCCTCATCAGAATTTGGGATAGTGTTCATTCTAAGGAAGATTTCTTGATAGTTAAGCAATTTGGAAACTTTTAACATATTTTCCCCTGTCTCTGTAAAATTAACTTTTCAAAGTTCACCGCTTTTAAATTGGCAAATTATAAAAAGTTATTTGTTGTAGACTTTGAACGGAGAAATTTTCCTTTACCTTTTGACATTTTACTTAAGTCTTTTGATACATCTATGTCTTCTATGTTTCAGGATTGCTTGCAATATATATACTGTGTTGTTCAAGCAAACGTTGCAAACTTTTTTGGTGGGTGAACTTTTTGTAACATTAAGAGTAATAAAGACCTTTTTGATCTAGTTCCTTGCGTGGTATTTCTCTTAACTTTTGATTAAAATCTATTTTCTTAATCTCAGGGTAATGATACTTTTGCCTTAAACCATTATTTTTTCCAAAGCATCGCGTGAACTGGTTTTTACAATCTGAAAATAAATTTAGTAATTGCTAGAAGACACTTTTCAAAATTACTTAAAGAACATATTCAAAATGCACAAAATCTTATTTTAAAGGATAAGAAATCTAAAAATACGTAGATTTATATTTTTACGTAGATATATTAAATAATGTCTAAATCAAATAAACAGAAATAATTTTTTTTTCATCTTCCTGGCAAACAATGCATTTAGTACAGTCAAAGTTTTCTTTTTTTTTCGTTCTTTGTCCTCCATTTGTAATAATATTTAACTTGTAAAACAGCAATAACACAGAATAGAAACGTTTTTAAAAGCCAAAAACAAATACAAATCATTCGAATTGTTGCATTTTTATAAGGAAAATTATGTAAAAATAAACATTTCGAATTGTTGCATTTTTATAAGGAAAATTTATGTAAAAATAAACATTTCGAATTGTTGCATTTTTATAAGGAAAATTCGAATTGTTGCATTTTTATAAGGAAAATTATGTAAATATCAAAACATTTGAAAATAATTCAATTGTCAAGTATGAAGTATTCTATTTCATCAAAACAGGTATAATGTTGTAAAAGTCCTTAAAAGTTAAAAAAAAAATTTAAATAACATAAATTTTATAATAACTATTATTTCTTAAAGTATAAGTAAAAAAATAACTTCAAAAAACATAAAATCTGCGTTTAAGAAAGAATTTTAAAAATTATTAAAAATCACAAAGCATCGATTTACCTCCGGTTTAATAAAAACATATTTACCCCTATATCTTTTTAAGTAAAAACTTTTAACATATGTTTTTTATATTATTTTGAATACCTGATTTATGCTCTTTTGATTGCTATCAAAAAAATTTAATTTGCTTAAAAAAAAATTAGTTGTTATGAGGACCACTTGTCACGCAAAATTAAAATCGAGTGACACCTGTCATTTTTCAAATCCTTATTATACAAGGATCTCATTTCAATAAAAAGTTTGCTTGTAACACGTATATGCACACGAA